GAGGGTTATTCACTAACTAGATAGTAGACAAGTATTATCTTAGGTGAAGGGAAGGACAGCACACACTACAGGGGAAGTCAGCACAATGGGACTAAACCAAAGCTAAGAAGTTTCCTAAATACAATCAAACACTTAGAGCGACAGAGTAGCAGGGGTAGAGGTCTGGGGACCATGCTTTCATGGGACATCTAGGTCAACTGGCATAACAAACCTTATTAAGAAAATGTTCTGCATCCCACTTCGGTGAGTAGCATCTGGGGTCTTAAAAGCTTGCAAGTGGCCATCTAAGATGCATCAATTGGTCCCAACCACTGGGAGTAAAGGAGAATGAAGAACACCAAAGACACAAGGAAAGTAGTAGCCCAAGAGACAGAAAGGGCCACATAAACCAGAGACTTCATTCAGCCTGAGACCAGAACTAGATGGTGCCTGGCTACCACCAATGACTGCCCTGACAGGGAACACAACTGAGAGTCCCTGATGGAGCAGGAGAAAGGTAGGGTGCAGAACTTAAATTCTAGTAAGAAGACCAGACTGAATGGCCTTCCTGAGACTGGAAGAACCCTCAAAGCATGGCCCCTGGATTCTCTATCAGGCCAGAACTAAAACAATTTCCGAGGCCAACTCTTCAGACAGGGATTGGACTGGACTGTGGGATATAAAGTGATACTCGTGAGGAGTGTGCCTCTTAGCTCAAGTATATACAAGAGACTAAACAGGCAGCTTCTGTCCAGAGGTGAGATGAGAAGGCAGAGATAGTTAGGAGCTGGTTGAATGGACATGGGGAATCAGGGGTGGGAAGGAGGAGTGTGCTGTCACAGTAAGGGGAGAGCAATTAGGGTCACATAACAATGTATGCATAAATTTTTGTATGGGAGACTAACTTGAAATGTAAACTTCATTTTAAACTGCAACAATAAAAAAATAAGAAAGAAAAAAGAATTATCCCACCCAAAATATCAGTAGTGCTGAGGCTGAAAAACCCTGCCCTAGCAGAACAAGGGACATGGAGGAAGTGCCTCAGACTTGGCTTCCCCATCTGTAAAACTGTGTAAAAAAAACCTGCCCTGCCTACCAGGCATGGGGCTGCGGCAGGCACTGTGTACTGGCTCCACCCAATACCCATTCCCAGCCCCTATCCCTCGTCCTCCTCCATCATAAAACCAAACCAGCTGCCATTCAGTGATTCTGACTCGTGGTGACCCCATGAGTGTCACAGTAGAACCATGCTTCACAGAGTTTTCAATGGCTGATTTTTCAGAAGTAGATCACCAGGCCTTTCTTCTGAGGCACCTATGGGTGGACTTGAACCTCCAACCGAGCATGTTAACCATCTGCACCTCCCATAGACTCCCTCCTTCACCGTAGAGGCTAGGAAAGCAAATCACTCACTTTCGCAGCCTCCTTTGCAGCTAGGGTGGTCACATGACACGGTTCTGGCCAATGAGGTAGAAGCAGAAGTCTGCCTAGGACTTCTGGGAGAGTGTCTGATTTACTGATAAATGGCTGGCCTGGCCATTTCCCCTTCTTCCTGCTTTGAATTTGGAGGTCACATATGAAGCGGTGGTTACCATCTTATGACATGAAGCCACAAGCAAGAGGACAAAAGCCAGTACACTAAAGACGGCAGAATCTAAGGTCCTACTGGCATCGTGAGAAGGTGGGGGTGAATCCATGCCAGCAGCTCTCAGCACCTGAACTTTTGGGTATGAGAACAATAAAGCCCTTTTGTTTTAAGTCACCTTAGGTTTTATGTTACTTGCAGCCAAATGCCTTCCTGGTGGAGAATTCATGAAATACGATGTCAGCATCATTTCTAACAAAAATTCTTCACAGATGCTAATACATAAAACAGATCAAAGGTGAGCTACTTTGATTGAAGTGGAGGAGGACTCAGGGCCCAGCCACCCAACCTCCACCTCAGCCCCCACAGATGACCCTCCAGGACTCTTCCATGGAACACCAGGTTACCCTGGAACTCAGTTTGAAAACCACTGCTCCATAATTAAGTGCTTTGTAAACCCAATGGGGATGATGAGTATTGTTGCCAGCTAAGTGGATGGCACAGTGGTGTAAGCTGGGCTGAGCAGATACTGTTGTAGGCTGCCATCAAGTCAGACCCCAACTCATGGTGACCCCATGCACAACAGAACGAAACACTGCCTGGTCCTGTGCCATTCCATAATCAATTGTGGATTGGACGATTATGATTAATAGGATTTTCACTTGCTGATTTTAGGAAGTAGGTTGCCAGGCCTTTCTTCCTAGTCTGTCTAAATCTGGAAGCTCCACTGAACCCTATTCAGCATCAAAGCAACACACAAGCCTCCACTGACAGATAGGTGGTTGCTATGCGTGAGGTGTGTTGGCCAGGAATCAAATCCAGGTATCTGCATGAAAGGTGAGAATTCTACCACTGAATCGCCAATATCTGTGCAGACACTATACCTATTGCTGTCGACTGACTCATGGCGATCCCATATGTGTCAGAGTAGAACTGTGCTCCAGAGGGTTGTCAATGGCTGAGTCTTCAGAAGTAAATCACCACCCCTTTCTTCTGAGGCACCTCTGGGTGGACTCAAACTGTCAGCCTTTCAGTTAGCAGCCGAGCATGTTAACCATCTGTACCACCCAGAGACTCTGAGCAGACACTACCCCCATTTAATGGTGAGGAAACAGAGTCACTCAGCAATTTCATGTCTGCCCAAGGTTACGATGCAAGTCTGTGGCCACGTGCTGGCCACTGACACTACTACCTCCTCTGCTCCCTGACGTGGCATTTCATGCTCACAGTCTCTTTATCCCATAGAGGGTGGCCCCAAAACCCAAGGACAGGCCCTGGCTGGCCTTTACTCAGCTTCCCCAGGGCTCTGCACACAGCACACTGCCTGACACTGGCTAGACCAACCTACCGAATTCACCACTTCCCACAGAACACCCTGGCCCACCACAAAGCACGCTGAGTAGGGGAAGGCAAAGGGACACTCACCACCTTGGCTTCTCCGCGCAGGCAGGAGGGTTTCTCTGCAAAGAGACGGGGACGAGTCAGGGAGAGCAACTTCCCTAGGCATGTCTGTTCTCAGTAGGAGGGCCACGTGGGCCTGAGCAGAACCAGGGGAGTGGGCCCAGCCCGGGATTCGGGGAGGTGCAATTTCCTACCAGACAATGTGAGCCGTGCCACCACCACCCACCTCTCTGGTTGGGCCACCACTGTTCCGCTCCCCCTACGCCCCTGCTCCCACCTCCTCATCTTTGCTCCTGGCATGCCCTCTGCTTAGGATGCCCTTCCTTCCCTGCACACTGTCTGCCATCTTAGTCATACCCGGCTCCGTGATCTTGCTCCAGAAAGCCCCTGGACAATCATCCTGAACTCCCACCTCCTTTGACGGCCCTGATCGCATCTTGCCTTTTAGCAAGAACTTTGTGGGAATGCCTCCACCCCCAGAACAGGGACTATGGTGTCCAGCGCTGTCTGACTCATGGGTGGCACCCAGTGCAGACTCACAGAAGGCACTCCGACACGCTTACTGAATAAAGGGGTGAATAAGCACACACAGGAAGGCAGGAACGGCATCTTACTTTTCCTCCGGGTCATGATGACGCAGCTCACCAGCACTATGATGACCAGCCCCAAGGCTGTCACGCCCACAATCAGTCCTAGAAAGTAAAGTTCAGTATGGCTGCAGGGAACAAATTTGGATGTCGCCAAGGGCCAGGCAGGTCAGAGGCCAGGCAGGTAACTGAATGACCACAGATGGCCGCAGCTGTTGTGGGGAGGGGCCAGTCCAGTCTAGAGGCTCTCAAACTCAATTACAAAACAAACACATAAAAAACGGTGTCCCAAACAAAACGCATCTGTTGGCCAACTCCAACCTGAGGGCCACCGGTTTGAGACCTCTGGCCTGATGTTATCCGAATCCCAAAGAGAAGTTGTGGAGGTGACCTAGCCCAGCCCTCTGTCATGGTGACTCATGGCCCACAGGCAGGATCCCATCTCCACTGGAGGTGAAACGCTGACCGCCATCTCTACCCACCCAGGGATTCTTGGTGACAGCACTGGATCTGGGAAGGAGACCAGTCTGCTGTTCCCTGTATCCCAGGACAGAGAACAGGGTCTGGCCGATAGCAGGTTCTCACAAAGACCACATGAATGAATGAATGAATGAGTCCTCTGTGACTTACCGATTGGAAGAGCAATGTTGTTGGGGGCTGGCCCCAAGGCCACTGTCAGGGCAGGGGCCAGAGACCCACAGACTGTGTCCATGCTTGCGTTGCCAGGGATGGCCACGGAGCTACAGCTGAGGGAGGAGGAGGCTTGGTCAGGAGGCAACAGAGGACAGAGTGGCCAGAGTGGCTGGGCCATTCATGGGAGCCAGGCCAGTGGGCAAGGGTCCCAGTGGCCAGGATGGGAAGTGAGTGTATGGGCCACACACTCTCTCAGGAAAGTCCTCTCCTGTCCCTCCTTCACTTCTCCCCATGCACTCCACCTGGTCTTGACCTCCCCATGTGCCCCACCCTCAGACCCACCCAGACCAGGCATGGGTGGGTGGTAGACAGCTCAGTAATGCCTCAACCCAAGGAAGTGAATGGGGGGATTTCAGGCACTGTGGCATGGCTGCTCTGTGGCCGAGACCCTACAGTCCCACAAGGAAACCACTCCCCACTCCTCCAGTAGCAAAGGACTCAGCCACTCACTTCCGATGAGGCCTGCACGGGTCTTTGGACGAAGTCGTGTTAGAGAATGTCCCCGGGGCACAGGGAGTGCACACCACGTTCGATGTTGCAGTTCCTTCAGGTGAAAAAGTATGACCTGTCACTAACTTAAAACTTCATGGGGCAGGTGGGCCTTGGCACTGGAGCCCTAGGGGAGGCCCAAGGTGCCAAGGACCTGTCTGCACCTCCACCTCTCAACACACACACACACACACAAACCACACACATACACACATGCACGCACTCACATATGGCTGGGTGGAGTTTGTCCTTTGGCCAATTCTGGTGACTTCCTGGACTCCTGGATCACATGTGTCTACCTTCCCACGGTATCCCCTGACTTTCTAGTAGCTTAGGGCTCAGTCTGATCCACCTCTGGATCCCCAGGGCCTAGCACACAGAGTATGCCTAATCAGGAGTGCTGAGGGAAGAATGAATGGTGGACGGATGGACAGATGGATGGGTAGCGAGCACCTGGCCACCCCTGACCACGCTCCCAGGATGGGCTGATTGACGGATGCCCGTGACTTCACATGGATGCCATGATGGGGGTCCCCAAGGACGGCCGGCCCTGGCCCATACCTTGTTTGGCCACTCCAAAGCTGGGTAGGCACTTGCGCAGTGGCACACACAACTGGCACCCCTCCTGCCTCCTCAGCATGCAGTACCAGCCTGACCTGCAGGTACAGATGCGGTTCTGTTCCCGAGTGCAGGATTGAACTTCCTCCTGGTCTAGAGGAGCAAGAGCGCAGCCCAGGGTCACTTCTGCCGCCACCGCCCTGCCCACTGAGACTCCCCACTCTGCCCTCCCAGCCAGCCCGGCACTCCAGAAAGCTCTAATGTCCAGGAGGCGGGTGGACAGCCCTCAGTATGGTGGCAAAAAGAACACTGGGCACGAAGTCCCAAGGCCTGCTGTCTTGTTCCAGCTCTACCACGGCATGAGCAAGCCACGTCTGCTCTCCGAGGCACAGTGTCTCCAACTCTAAAATGAATACAGTTCCTCCCTCCCACCCGTGCCTGCCTGCCCCACGGGGCTTTAGGAAGATTCAGTGAAACAGAGGATGAAAATGCCATTTGTAAATAGTAAAGAGCTGTGCCCACGAGGACAGTCAACCCTGGAGCATGGAGACCACTGGCCTGGAGTAGCCCCAGCTGGATCTCAGATAAGGGGCTGGAGTGCATGGTGGCCAGGGGAGGATGCTGCAGACCACCCCTCCCTCTGGGGCCCACTCACCGGAGCTGCATCGGGAGCTACAGCTCAAGCATTTGGAGACCCAGTTGCAGAGCTGGGTGTATGTGCTGTCCTCGCAGGGGGCACACACGGTGTCTGAGGTCTTGGTGCAGAAGCTTTGCACGAAGTGACCTGAGAAAGCAAGGGCCAAAGGTTCAGGGAGCGAGGCTTCTTCCAGGTCCCTGGGCCCATCCACTGTTCCCAGAGTCCCAGAGTACTCAGGCCTAACTGGGGAGGCTCCTGGATGGAGTTCCAGTTCCTCCATTGACTCACTTTAAGCAAGTCCCCGAACCCTCTAGACTTAAGAGCCACACAGGTCTGAACTCTAATCTCACATCTGTCATGTGTCAGTTGTTACTCTCTCTCTGAACCCCCACTGCACATAAAATATCTTCCCTTCTGCTCTTCCCAGATGCCTGAAATTCCATCATTGGAAGCCTAGTATCAGTCAATCACACTTTAGTGAGAACTAGTCTGCCAGCTCCTTTCTTCTTTAGAGTTGGCTAAAATTTTCCACCTGTGGGTATGAACTATAGAGAAAGAAGGCAGTCAGGAATGTAGTCCTTAGGATCCTGTCAAGGATGAGAATATGGGACTACTGAAGGTATGGAGAAAAGACAAGCCAGGGGATGGGAGAACACCAAGGCACACCTTTAAGGAGTTTATTCTCCCAAGTCCCATCCCCATTCCCATTCTGCCATGTTCACTTCTCTACTAAATTAATAACTTCTTAAACTAATAACTTAATAGAAAAAAGAAGAGTCACTTCCCCTGGGGTCTCTTAAAATGGCTGAGAGAAGTGATAGGTATACATGTGCCCACCCACGTCTCAGGCCAATGGCTCAAACCCACCATTGGCTTCCTGACTCTTGCAGAATAAAATCTAAACTCCTTGCCGTGGCCCCTACTTACCTCTTCCTCCTCATCTCCTACCATGCCCCTCTTCACTCACTCTGGGTCATACATCCTGGCCTTGCTATTCATCAAGCCCACCAAATAGGCTCCCACCTCAGGGCCTTTGCACTTGCTGTTGCTTCTGCCTGGACTGCCATTCCCCTGTATTTCTGCACCACTTGCTCTATCACCTCCTTCAGGTCTCTGCACAAACTGTCACCTCCCTGGCCACCCCACATAAAACACGTGTCCACTCCATCTGTCTCTATCTGCCTTACCCTGCCTTGTTTTCTTCACTGCACTTACCACTCTCTGATATGACCAAAATTCCTTTCATCTACGGAAACCCTGGTGGCATAGTGGTTAAGAGCTACGTCTCCTAACCAAAAGGTCAGCAGTTCCTTGGAAACTCTACGGGGCAGTTCTACTCTGTCCTATAGGGTCGCTATGAGTCGGAATCGATTCGATGACAATGGGTTTAGTTTTTTTTAATTTCATCTATTAGTTTATTTTCCCTCCATTAGAATGCAAGCTCCATGAGGACTTTCCTGTTCTCTGTTGTACTCCCAGCACTTAGAACAGTGCCTGACACACAGTAGGTGCTTTCTAAATATTTGAATGTATGAATAAATGGATGGATAGATGGCACTGGGATGGGCCACCTGGCTCTTCCAATTGAGGCTAAGCCTCAGGTCTGCCATCTGTGAAATGGGTACACATTCACTGATTCAGTCAAATATATACTATGCACTTGCTATGTGCCAGGCATTGTGCCAGGTGCTGGGGTTTCAGTGGGGGACAAGACACAGTTCCCATCTTGGAGGAGCTCATAGTGGTGGGTGGGGGGGGGTGACAGGAAAGTAACCAGGCGATTCTTGCACAGTGTGAAAAGAGCTGCAATGGGGGACACCAGGGGCCAGTGGGGGTTCCAAGGAGGCAGTGTAGAACAGGCTTCCCAGAGGAGGGGACAGCAAGCTGAGGCCTAAAGGATGAATGGGCATTAAACAGGAGAAGGGAGTTGAGGAAGTGTGCTAGGCAGAGAGAACAGCATGTCCAAAGGTCCAGAGGCAAGCCTGGGGCCAGTTGCTGGAACTAGAGTTCAGTAAGAAGCAAGGGCTCTGCTGTGCCGGCCCAACCCCTCCAGGGTACCAGTCTCCAGAGGCCCAGCCTGGCCCGAGGGTCGGGGCCCCAGTGACTGGCTTCTTACCAGGTGGACACATGCTGCAGTACATCTGGGCTCTCTTGTCATAGTACTGTCTCGGCTGGCACTGTGTCCCATTCCCAGACTCCGGGGCATAGGTGGGATGTGCAGCCTGGAGGGGAGAGGGAAGGACAGCCATCAGCATGGTCACCCCTGGATTCCACCCCAACTGAAGCCCAAATTCCCAGCCTGCAAATGCCGGGACTCCATTGATGTCAGGATTTCTCCCTTTTGTAGGGAGGGAGGGAGAGAAGGAGCTCCCGCCTTCTTTTGTCTTCTCTTCCCCTCCTCTCAGTGTAGCCCGCAAGGTCAGAGGGAGCACAGATGGCTTTAGGTAGCCTTCTCCACTGCTGGGTGGCTCCTAACCCACGACAGGGCAGGTGTGGGGCCATGAATCTGCCCAGCAGGCAGTCTTCGTCCCAGAGAACCAAGGGCCTCAGCACAAAGTAGCCCTCTGCCTAGGATGTCCCCCCTCCCCTCCTGCACCCGGCAAACTCCCCTTCTTCCTTCAAGCTGAATGTCGCCTCCTCTGGGAAGCTCTCCCTGACTCCTCCGGGCTGATGTAAGCTCCCCCTCCTCTGTGCTCTCTGTGAACACTGGATATGCTCCATTCTAAAAATCATTCCATGGTTCTGAAATGGCTTACGTGCCTGTGTCCTGGCCCTGCATGGGTGCATATGCACACACATGTGCGTGCGTACACACAGGTCTGCGGTGCTAAGAGGGCAGAGACGCCGGCCTCATTACCTCGGATCCTCAGCCTCTGACATAGGGCCCTGCAGAGCTGGTGCTCGGTAAATGAGTGTTTGTTGAGAATGACTATTAACATTTACTGAGCACTTACTAGGAATCAGGCATGGTTCTGAGTGCTTCAGATGCTCTCAGCCATGGGTGCTGTTGGACCTCTTTACCGGCAGGTGCACCCACCCCCTAGTTGCTGTCGGTGTTGGCTGATAATAGTTCCCATAGCTGGAAGGCAGCCCATGGCCTCCAGGAGGGACCCATGCTGTGATACAATTCACTCCCAGAGCCCCCATGGGATCAGGCTGAGGCTGTCGTCAGCCGACACCACACCCTTGCTCGGCTCCTCCACCACTCTGTCTGGTTGCCCTCACTCACCCCAAAAATCCCCACCTCAGGCTCTACTTCGAGAAGCTTCGACCTAAGACAAGTGTGTGATCTCAGCAAACCCTCCCAACAACCTAATGAAGAAAGTTACTTTCCTATGGCCAAACTTGCAGAGTCAGTAAGTGGCGGAGAAGAATTCAAGCCCAAATCTGTCCGATGCCATGGCTCGTCATCTCAGCCACTGTGCTTTATGCCTCCATGAATCAACAAACAGCAATGAATGAAAAGAAAGGAGGAGAGAGACAAAAAGCAACACACAGAAGGAGCAGAACTGAAAAGAATGACAAAGAGTTCTCCTCCCTCGGGTCTCAGTCGGACCCTCAGAGGGCACAGAGGGCGGGCAGCTGACAGTCACCACTGTGCCTGTCCCAGGACCCCTAGCCACACACCCTTGAAACCTGCATTCCTCCTTAAAGATGTGGGCTGGAGGTCCGGGCCCTCTGGGATGAGCATTAAGCCACCTATGCATGTCTGTGAGGTCCCTGAGTAACACAAACAGTTTGCGCTCAACTACTAACCTAAAGGTTGGCAGTTCGAACCTAGCCAGCAGTTCTATAGAAGAAAGGGCTGGTGATCTGCTTCTGTAAAGATTACAGCCAAGAAAGCCTTATGGAGCAATTCTACTCTGTAACACATGGGGTCACCATGAGTTGTAATCAACTCCATGGCAACGGGTTTGATTTTTTGGTTTTGGCACAGCTGTGAGCATGTTCCAAGCAGGTATATTCATTTGTAAGCACACGTGGGCTTACACACACACTCAGTCTCACAGACTGTCCCCCTCATAATGACCAGAGCAGCAGTTCCAGGAGGGTAGAGTTGCAGGCTGGGTCTTGCCTCATTAAATCCCCAGCTACAAACACAGTGCCAGGTCCACGGTCAGTACAAGCTCAATAAACCTTTACTGAACAAGTGATGAGGACTCTCCCCTGACGAGGGAAGAGAGAGCACAGCCTCTGGAGTCAGAGACCTGGCCTCAAATCCTCATTCCACCACTTACCAGCTGTTTGGCTTTGAGCAACTGTCTTAACCTCTCTGAACTTTAATACCTAATACAGAGGAGCAGGGAATATTCTCAAAATATTTAACAACCAGCACAATATGGACTGACCAGTCACCCTGGACAAACCAATCAGAACAGATACCACCACAACTCTGGGTACGGCTGGGCCAGCACAGACCTGGCCAAATTTTGGCCCTGCAAAGGAGGCGATTATCCAAAATCCGAGGTGGGTTCCCTTTGCCCTCTCCTTCCTCCTCCACAGCTCTGTCTGGGAGTCTGGGCAGGCTGGGCTCCTGGCTGGCCCCTGCAGGGAGTGACCAGTCAGCCCGGAAACCCAGCCATCTCCCCTGCTCAGCTGCACGCAACATGTTGTCAACAGCAAGAACCCATCAGGGGAGACGTCCAGAGGGCCTAGGGGTTCTGCTGCCGGGCAATGCATGCCTCTCAGAAGCCCCAGCCTCTTCTAGCCCCATGGCTTTGCCCGAGCTGTCTCCTCCACCTGGTATGGCCTCCTGCTTCCTCTGACAAATTCCTTTTATTCTTTAAAAGCCCTTCTCAGACAGTGCCCCCTCTCTGAAGGCTTCCCTGCCTGCACCCCACCCTGAGTGAGTCCCTCAGATCCGGCATCTCAGACACTCCTCTGAGCAGACAGGCTGCCACCATTCTACTTGCTGTGGCTGCAGCCCAGGGTGGCTCTGCTGTTGCCCCAGGGCCTGCATGTAGCAGGCGATCAGGTTTCGCTGATCTAAGCATGGGCTCCTTTGCAATTGTCACTTCCTGGAGGGGTCTGTCCCCAGTGCCAGGCCATGAAGCCCAACATGGATGCACCCCACCTGGCCTGCCTCTGAGGCCCATCACCCACCCCCACCCCAGACCCAGCACCAGGGCTAAACCCCAAGACAGTCAGTTGGGTGAGCTTGGTGGAGACATAGGTGGCTGGGAAAGGGAAGTGGAGATCATTTTGCATAGCAGAGTCCAAAAAAGTTAACTTCAACTTCCTTCTGGACTGTAAGCTCACATGCACATGTGTACACAGGCATGCACACATGCCCATGCACACGTGTACACACACCTGTGGGCATACATGCATACACATGCACGCAGACACACACAGGCACACGTCTGCACACACGCATGTATGCTCACGCAAATGCCCCCCGCCACATGCTCCATCTCAGGCCTTCTTTCCTCCCAGGCTGGTCCTGGAACAGGCTGCCAGGCACCCTTGGCAAAGGGCAAAGCAAGGGTTTAGGACCCCTTATCTGACCTTTCACAGTATGTGGGAGGGGGCACTGTCTGTGTCTAAAGCACCTGGGGTGCCCATCCCTAATGTAGACTCCTACCTACCTAAACAGAGGCAGAACCTCAAGGGGGGTGGGCATAGGAAGCTATACTGAACAAACAAAACAAAAGCAAACAAACAAAAATCGCCCCCGGTGATTATGATGCTCCAAGGCTGGCACCTGTGGACAGAGCAAGATGACTGGGGGGCGCATGTGGAGGAGACTGGGTGATGATAAGGCTGGGGCTGATCTGAGCAGCCCTGTCGGCTAGAAGCCACCATCCACACAGAGGAACTGTCCCTTCTGCAGCTTCCCCCGCACACACCATTCAACGGAATAGAAACTGGGGCCAAGGGTCTGTCTGACCCCTAAGCCCCCAAAACAAGCCTTCCCTGGAGGCCTCTGCAGTGTAGCTGCATCAGGCTGGGAGTTTCCCAAGGGAAGGGGCTGTGCCTCCCCGCTCCGATGGAGCACCCCCCAGGTGCTGCCTCCTTCCCATCAGACAGCATCCCCAAGGGTGGAGAGGGACTGTGCCTCCTTCCCTTGCAGACCCCTGCCCAGCAAAGTGGCCACACAAGTCTTATCGGAACCTTACACCCTCGGTGGGACGGCGGGCACTGTTTTGTACCACGAGTACCCTCAGCGGTAGCTAAGGGCGCTCTCACTCATAAGGACCATGAAAACCGCAGGGCCAGGGCAGCCTCCAGGAGGGAAGAGAAGTCTTCGGCCCCCACCCCGGGGGGGTGGTCTGGCAGAGCAGAACTCTGGGGTGACCTGGGGCAGCATTTCCTGTCAGGGTTCCGAGGGCCTGATGGGAAAGGGCCCTGCTGCGGCCAAGTTTGTGCTCTTGCGCCACTCATGGGCAGAGAGGTCCTGGCCACCAAAGGCAGGCAGCTGGACCACCAAGGTCCCCTATCCCCCGTCTGCAGACCCCGGCCTCCCAACCCTCCTTCTAGCTGCTTTTCCATCTGCAGCTTCGGTATGAACAGCAGCCTTCCCTCCACTTCCTCCGGCTGCCCCACATAGCTCTAGCCCCAGCAGCTGGCAGAGGGGTCAGCCCTCCCTTGAGCAATCCTGAGGCCTGTTTATCCTCTTGGACAAGAAAAAAAAACCCACAGCCCTGTCATGGCTAAACAATGAGGAACAGAAAGCCCCTCACCAAGCAAGCAGAACAAAAGGTCACTCCCTACAGTGTGCAGCTCCCAAGAGCAGAAGCTGGGCCCAAACCACAGCCCTGGGACCTGGGCCCAGGTCACCGCAGGGACCACGCAGGCAAGCCGCCTCTGGGAAGCACTGGGCCATGGAAGCCTCCAGAAACTTTGCATTGAGTTGGAAAGGCTCAGACTCACTCCCCACCCCAAAGAGGATCTCTGATTAGCAGTTTAAAATGAGGAAATAAACTGAATAGCACGGGATTCACTCAGCATGTTTAACAAACCCAATCTTTCAAAACATAGGGTCCCCAGATGAATATTTGGAAATAGTTGATGAGAGTTAACCGCTCATTTAACAGATGGGGAAGCTGTGGTCTGGTGGTGGGAGGTGGAATCAGGGAATACACACATAAATAGATAGAAATCTGTCCTTGGGTCTAACAAATCTGTGAGGTAGGTCTGACTATGCCCATTTCACAGAAGAGAAAATCAAGGCAGAAAGAGATGAAGCCACCTCCCTGGGTCTCCCAGAGACTTTGGACCA